ATCCCAATATTTGACAGTATTGTATTCCTTGGTTTGTTTAATTTTTTCCCTTTTGGTGCTATAGCCCCAATTTTGGCCTTGGCCTACCTCCATGAAACTCTCCGTTTCACTTCGGTTTACTAGATTTTACACATCCGGTATAACTCCTTGGGCGGGTGATCAGCTCGTCGCAGGGCGTCTACCTGTACACAAACACAGAAAAACACACACAAACACTAAACATCCATGCCTTGAGTGGGATTTGAACCCACGATCCCGGCTTCCGAGCGAGCGAAGACAGTGCATGCCTTAGACCGCTCGGCTACCGTGACCGGCAAGCTTGTTTAATTACAACTGTAAAATGACGGACTGTAAATTATGAAGTCGTTTGGAATATTATAGTGGGCCTAACCAATGTCGTTGCTGTTTTGCTTGCCACCAGATGGGCCTTTGACATTCCTGGTCTCTGCCTGCCTGGCTAAGGTGGAGTTCAGTATCCACACTACTACATGAGTGTATTCACTTAGTGTATTTCCACTCCCTCCCGCTAGTGACTTCCGGGGAAGAGGAAAAAGAAAGCGATGACAATTATTTTGAATTGTTTCATTTTTGGTCCGTTACACTATCAATCACAAAGTCAATGAAAATTCCGTCGAGTGTAACAATGTTTTTAGGTCACTTCTTTATCTCACTTGCCTTACATGTTTCGGTTTAAGAAAACCATCATCAGAGGCACATATTACAAACACATGAAAACACTGGCGTTGTTTAATGTACACAGTATATATGCTGCGTGGACGCTGCTACAAATGTTCAAAGTGTAAAAGCACAACACTTTCTAGGAATATTGAATGCACGTTCAACTCTCGCATTCCATCCGAAATTGTCCTCAAATTGAAGCGTCAATGTTAAAATATTTAAAAGTTTAAAACATTTGAAGTAAAATGTTAGGCTCCTTCTTGTTAATTCGTCCCGATGCTGGGAGATGTCAACTTGAGGTTGTGTAGGCTTATGGTCAGACGTTTCCTACGCGTTGTGTGTTGTGTACACAACATGTGACCATAAGCCTACACAACCTCAAGTTGACATCTCCCAGCATCGGGACGAATTAACAAGAAGGAGCCTAACATTTTACTTCAAATGTTTTAAACTTTTAAATATTTTAACATTGACGCTTCAATTTGAGGACAATTTCGGATGGAATGCGAGAGTTGAACGTGCATTCAATATTCCTAGAAAGTGTTGTGCTTTTACACTTTGAACATTTGTAGCAGCGTCCACGCAGCATATATACTGTGTACATTAAACAACGCCAGTGTTTTCATGTGTTTGTAATATGTGCCTCTGATGATGGTTTTCTTAAACCGAAACATGTAAGGCAAGTGAGATAAAGAAGTGACCTAAAAACATTGTTACACTCGACGGAATTTTCATTGACTTTGCGATGACAATTAGTTACGATGATTCCTGATGACAGGCAGAGAAGACTTACAGTTAAATGTGGGATTCGAAACATGGTGAAGGCCTGGTTTATTATGTTTAATATAAGTTATTTATACCTTGATTTAAAAATACCAGCATTTCTTTAAAAGCAAATATACATCTTTCTAGGCGCAAGCTATCGATCCCTCCGTAACCCAAATGCAGGATTTTTAAATATTTAAAATGTTATACCGAGGTAGCTGTAATCGGAAATATAAACACAACGACTGTATGAAGTCTCTAATATTTAGGTGAATTTATATATCTCAGTATTTATGTGAATCTATATAAACTTTTAAAACCCAGAGACAGTTAACAAAATAAGAAACCTAAATAATAGAAGGTGATACAACAATATTCAAGATGCTTCAGCATACACCTAGCACATGTCACACTGAATGGGGATGCAGTGCTAGACTATCACACTATAACTGATATTAAAGCAACTGGTAACATGCGTTTAGTTCACATGATAAAGAAAAAAGTGCCCCTCCCGAAAAAGTCAATAAACACACACAGAGATTATACACATAACACATGAAGAAATATATTCAGTTGACACTGGATATAGAACAGCAGAGGCAAATTATCCATATCACATATAACGAGGGCACTTGGCAGGACAACAATCCAAACACAGCCACATAATCTGAAGAAACAATGCAAGGGAAATATATAAAACACAACCTCAAAGAACTCTCGGTAGGGAAACATGTTGACACACCCACTGGCAGGTTAAGCACTACCTGTGTGGAGTAACCTACCAACAGGTATCATAATACCAAGGAGGGTTATTGGTATTTACATTGTCAGCTTCAATAAAGATGCTTGGTTAAACTGTAAAATGCGAGATATCTGTAATACTTATATGATGAGAAAACAATTAAAATAATTTCTGCCAAATCTCAGTACTTGACAACGTAACAACTTATGGTGACTCCCGAGTAACTTTCATTAATATTATCAAATATATCTGATGTTCCGTCTTACATGCAACACTTTTAAAAATATTGTTTAAAAGTTACTACATATACATAATGCGTCTTTTAAACTGATTTAAAAACCACATTGTCCACCATATGTTTCGACAGTTATTGGTCAATTTAAAACTGTTCTGTGGAGACTGTTGTGCTTGCGTTTTTTTCTGTAAAAAGGGAAGTCACCGCCTGGTTCCGACAGCAGACCAAAGAATTTTATGCTGCTGGTTTTCAGGGCTTGTGAAACGATGGGACAAGTGNCTGTGCTTGTGCGTTTTTTTCTTCTAACGTAGGCTGTGTAGCCCCTTTACATATTCGTGTTTTTCGTGGTGCTGCATGTCTTCTCCTGCCGCGGTGTGTGTTTAGACCACAAGTGTGTTACACGTAACACGGAAGATCAGAAATATTAATTTTTAATGACGTGCAACAGGATGCTACGATATAATATTTTCATTAATACGTAGGTAAGTCAATAAGTAAGTTACAAATGGATATAGNTTTACCCTCGTATATCGGCTGACTTATTCTTTGACTAGTAAAGACTTTTTCAGCTGCATAGGCCATGTCGTTTCGAACACAGGTTAATCTGTGAATTACAGTGGTTGTGACAAGCAATCATGGCGTATTTCACGGTACCACTTAACTATGCAAGTATTCTTTGAGGGACCGAGGAAATTACGGAAATCCTCTAAATGACCGATCTCCTGGTCAGGATTCGAATCAGGGATTTCCTACATACGAATCATCAATCCCAATCACTAGACAGCAACGTTCTCTCAATGATAAACGCTCCTCATTATCACCAGCATCAGTACCAGATCTAGAATTTAATTTCGACGGGAGTGAAACATAAGAAGCAATACATTTTATAACTCATATATGCATCCACTAATATTCCTGCTATTGACGCTGATTTTATATCACAATTCTTTTTAATAACTAAAGTATATGATAAAATATCCTTGGCATATTTCCCAAATATTCAATAACCTGGAAAGAGGCGAATCTGTTAACAACCCTCCCGTCCCAATACAATAACGACTGCAATGTTAAAATAACACTGAGTTCTGTAATGGCATTTTCAATATCTGAATACGAATATGAGGATAACTAGGCCTGTACTGACACATAACAATGGTGGTCTGGAAGAGCAATTAAGCAATTCATGATGGTTATTCCAAACCAACTGTCCTCCCAAGTTACGCTTATTTTCAATTCAATAATACCAGACTCACTCTTTTATCTGACGTATATTGCCTCTCCACATTCTCATCCTTTTTATCAGGATTTATAAATGACTACGTCAACAAGCTGTAGGAGTCCCCACTTGATAGATCTGACCACTAAAAATCTACCATCGAAGACAAGAGCAGCAAGAAGGAAACGCGATCATAGAGCCATGCACCGCCTGCGGTTTCAATCCACGATTCCTGTGTCCGAATGACCAATGACCGCGTGCACCCCGTACGCCACTGTCGTGGGTTCGCCTGCATCTTTATAAAAAGAACTACGTTCTCTTACAACCCTGAAGACCGTACATTCTTTAGATACTATAGGGTTCTGACGACGGTGTATAACACACAGAGATACTGGATTTTGGGAATTTGTCCATCGTTCGGATTCTAAGTAACTAAGGAAAAAAACGTTTCGGAAACTGGATCCGTTTCCGTCCTCAGGTGAGGGAAGACACCAGTGATTGAGACTAGCTCTTTCTAAGGGACCCAACAGAGTAGGTGTCTTCCCTCACCTGAGGACGGAAACAGATCCAGTTTCCGAAACGTTGTGTTTTTTTCTTAGTTATTTAAAATCCGGACGACGGACAAAGTCCGAAAATCCAGTATCTCTGCGTACATTCTTTGTTTTCAAATACTGCTAATTATCAGGAATGAACAAGTTTCAGAATTGGCGCATCAATGACAATGAAAGTCAAACACAATGTGCAACACATCCAGAGATATGAGGTGTGGTACATATACTCCATGAAATGATAAAACATGGATGTGACAATATGAATATTAAATGTCAGAATCTTCAATCTAGTTGGTCGTTCCGCCAACTTCAGTGTTGGCGAGACCTCTGGCGCCTTGTCTCAGGCTGCCCTCGCAATCGGGACGGGGTATTTATACCCAAATCAGGATCTAGATACTTTTCGCGTATAGATAGATCATTGTCCTGTGCTGGTAGAGTTGCATTTGTAGGGATTTCGGTAATATGAATAGAAGAAGACCCTGCCGAAGATCAGGGTGCTGCGCCAAACCACAAGAGTTTAGTTAACCAGGAGCATTCTAGAGGCTGGCCAATAATCATGCAAGCAGATACTTTGGAACCACTCACTGTATCTGATAGGAAATACATAGTCTAGTGTGGCGCTAATGACTCACATGTATGGGTCTTTCACTTCAACTGCAACTTCGCTAGGCAAAGCAACAAACTTATTACAAACTGCCAATAACAGAGCCATCTTATCGGCAAGAATTCTAATATTATGATGAATACGTCTTATATTCTTGCACCTTAACTAATACAAATGCTTGATTCAAATCATACTGAAGCTGTTAGCACCTTTGAAAGTGACGGTGGGTCGAGGAGAAGACTGGCGGCACCACCAGTTGGACCCTGAATACCGCTGACCAGGACCGGAAGCATTATTGGCGGGCTGGTATCGATACAACGGGCGATGAATGCTTGGATCAAACGCTTGATTTGCGAATACATCTCGTCGTGGTATGACGCTACTCGCTGCGACTGCACTTGCGGATGTCTGGCGCTGCTGTAGAGATTGCTGGGGTTTCAAAATAGAGAGGGGATGCCTACGAGATCGTGTGGGGGAGGAAGATGCAGGTCTGGGACGTGACTCCCTGGAGGATGGTCTAGATACTGGAGGGGAAGGTCTTAGTTCCGGTGAGGACAGAGACCTACTATTCGGCTGGGTGTCAGGAAATCTGTGTGCCACCCAATGACAACCCAAATAAGGGGCTATATCTCTCAACTCTCGGACATCAGGGGTTGAGGTAAACATCTGCCCCATGAGAGACAACTGAGATTCAAACTTGTCTCTGATTCTTCGCACTTCACCAGTGTGATAATGCGTGAAACCCTCGTCTTCTGACATGACAGACTGCCGCTGAGGAGAAGCTGTTACTGAACGGCGTTGCAAAGACGCAGTCTTGCTTATCACGTTAATGTGAGGCATGAATCTGTCCCCGACTCTAAACGGAATTCTTGGCACAGGGGATAATGCTCTTGCTTTCCGGCGGCGGCTTCTTCCCCTACAGCATGTCTCGTACCGTCGCCTGAGCCACCGAACGTCACCAATCTCTTGTCTTCTCACGACTACTCTGTTACTATCAGTTCCTCGTCTCGCCAGGAAATCACGAGCAAGTTCTGGATCGCTTCGGTATCTTTTAAACATGAACTGATTATTTACCTTTCTGCCGTCTCTAGTGGAACTGTAATAAATGTCTTCGAGGCTCTCGAACTTGTTGCACAATCTTCTAACATCCCCCTGTTTCACAATTTGTAGATATGCGCGCCAATACTTTGTTGGGTCGGGGGAGACGCTCCTAGATCGCTGTTGGAAAAGGCTCTCAGTGCTACTACTACTGCAGTAAGCCCTATAGGGGCTGATGCTGCCTTGATGACTTCGCCGAACATTTGAATCATCTAAGCTCTTTCGCGTTTCACTTCGTGCTGATTTTATCGGAAATGCGGGCTCTTCTTTCTTCCGAGTCTTTAGAGGCATTGTTGTATACCGCAAACGGCTCTGTTCGCCAAACAACTCCTTGAAATCAGCATAGGACTGAGACGGGCAGAGCTTTTTTGGAGAGAACTGGATTGATGGATCTGCGGTGATCCGTGGTATAGAAAATGCCCCCGGGGCACTTTTGGCACGACTACTGTGAGTCAAAATAGTATGTCGCGGAGTTCTGATGTCACTAGCACTTCGGCAAACCCTTCCACTAGCTTTAGCCTGACCATTAGCCGTGTCGCTGGTCGCCATCAGATGTTGCCTTTCAAAGTACTCGACTTTGTGGAGTACATCTTCTCCACTACCTATCCGTTGGATCACTGTCCTTGTGGATGTATCGGAGCTTGCACTCTCCGTTTCACTTGCAGACGTTGTCGACACTAATCTGGCCACAACGCCATTCTCAGTTTTCTTCTCACTCCCAGCTGTTACTGCTTTGCTTGTCGAAGGCATAGCATTGGCCCACTCCTCCACAACTTTTTGTACCTCGTGGTGTTGACTTTGTGAACCATTTGAAGGTGTCAGCACAAGGAGAAAGTCGTTTTTCCTTGCAGAAGAAGCACGACGGTCGGATACATCTTCTTCTGACATTTCCAACGAGTAGCATGTTCTTGGTGAAATCGTTTCTGACAACACGGGGCTAGAGTTTGGACTAGGGGTCCTTCCCAGATCTTTAGCTGCTGCGGCAGCGATGGCACCCCTCGTCTCTCGTGCTCTCACAACCGGTACTGAATTAATTTTCTGTTTCTTCGTGACACGATCCAGGACCTCTTGGCTCAGGGTCATTGATAGACGTTTCTTCTCAGTTTCAGACAATGGCTTTGTGTGATCTGAATGATATATAAGCGATTCAGACTTCGGTGTACTTCCATTTTTCTTCCAGTGCGGCAGGGAACTGATGGATTCTGCCTTCATGCTCTCCGTGCGTCTGACCTCTCTTCTTTGAACAGCCGGCGAGTACAACTGATCACTAGTCAGTAGAGAATTGCATCGCACATGAAGCGTTTCTTTGTCACCTTCCCGTGGTCTCAGGAGTGCTCCACTTTCTGGTGGTACTGATATTTCATATTCCTGCCGCTTCATCACCCTGTCACGCTTCATGTTTGATACGGAGCTGTAGATCTCACTCAGCTGAGTCTTCAAGGCATTCACTTGATCCATCGACAGGCTACTCCATAGACGGCTACAAATTCCTCTTTCGTGCCTTCCAAACGAGTGTCTGCTTAAACTCCTTGGCATGCTATGGCTTCCAGTGTCTCTAAATACAGGTCTTCCTCTCCGAGAACTCGTTACTGCAGCCAGACAAGTTGCAAGGTTCATTACTGACGATCCTCGCCACAGCGGTTTATATAAGTCTTTCTTGGAATCGATATCCTTTCTTCTCGCGGCTTCTAGATCGGTTTCCTCCATACTGAGTTTACTGAAATGCTGCTTAAGGTTCTCTATGGATTTCTCTCTGCAGCGAAGACCTCTGTCTCGTTCACCTCTCCATCGCAAAGATTCGGCGTCTTTAGATTCGAAGAGCAAATCTTTCTTCTTCTGGTCTTCTTTAAGCTTTTTATATAGAATCTTCATTTCCTCTTCTTCTTTTTCCTTCGTTCTCAGTTGCTTCCAACGATCATAATCGATGACCTCCTCACCCTTTAGGCGAGGTCGGAGATCACCTGTTGATGCCGTTCGTTCCAGCTGTCCAAGACGTTCGAGACTTGAGTAGAACTTATGAAGCTCCCGGAATCGCTCCGACTTTCTCGTGGAGTGTAGCAGTTCCATGACATAGGATTGATATTCGTTGTGATCAGTGATGTGAGATATATTCAGGGAACTTGTACTATGAGCTTGCAATGATGAGGATGTTTTCCACTCGCTCCTGTGGCCTTGTTTGGCGTCCTCAACATCTCCTGCACTCCTGGCCCGAATACCTCTTCTCCTCAGTCCGCCTATACTCTCCACTGTTTTCACAGTTTGAGACCGTGTTCCCCTTATTCTTCTACATGCCGGTGATCTTGCTGCAGATGGCGATGAAGGCTGCGATTGGCAACGTGCTGAGGGTGCCATATTTGATGGTGCGTCTCGTTGAATGTCAACAGGAGGCAAGTGGCTTTTTGATATAGCTCCTGTGGGTGATGATAACAGAGGTGGTTCACTTGAACTCCTTACCTTAACACTCTCTCTTCCATCACTCTCTGGAGTCCTACTTCGTGATGGGCTTAATGAATAAAATATTCCAGCCTCTACTTCGTGTCTTGAACTATCTTTTTTAAACCGGGAAAAATGTGATCGCACAGGACACGTAACATGATGATAGGAAGGACTTGGGGACCTTGACAACAGACTGAACCTGCGATCCAAACTTCGGAACTTTGATTCTGTAACAGGTCTCTTCTGTCCAAGATAGATGTTCAGCAATCCAAGTGTGGACTCTGTTCTGTAAGGGGCCGTTCTAGTTGTTCTACCAGTCACTTGTTCGCTAAACTCCCTCGCTCTTTGTAAAACAGATGAAGATCTGCAGAGAGTGCTTGCTGCAGATAGTGTTGGAGACGGTATGTCCCTTAAAAGAAGATGCTGAAAGAAGGATTCGGAATCTAAGGGACTCACATTCTGCTGAGCAATAGTATCAAGCAAGCTATCCCTCTGTGTGGCTAGCTGTCTCATAGTAGGAACAACAGTGAGATCCTTCATAGTTTCAGTTTTTGGCACTGGATTGCCCTTCTTCTCATTCATATTTTGTTTCCTTTCACTGCTAACTCTAGATTTGTTACCTGACGACGGCTTGGGGACGCCATTTTTTTTAGATGCATGGGCCCGTCTTGATTCACCATTGCTGTCCAACTTACCTTTCTTAATTTTCTTTTTATTATCTTTATATTCCTTGTCCATCCCTTTATCAGAATTATAACTAGCAACTTTCCTAACTGTTTTTTGCATGGACATTGGTGTTTTCACACTTGTTACAAGAGATTTATCTTTTGTGCGTTTCCTTATATCTGCTGAGGCACTTTTCCTTACTCTCCTATTACCTTCATCTGTTGTTAGCTCTATTATTGATTGTGTGTCATTTCTCGAAGACCTCGGCATTGTAGGCGATTCAGTGGTCATACATTCCCTACTTGCACTTCTATTGGTTCTCTTCCAAGGACTGCTTGCTGCTGAAGGACATGGGGAAACAGCAGACTTTTTCTTCGAATCTGAGGAAGAATAGTTAGATGGGGAGCTTGATTTCATTGCCACTCTTGAAAATACATTTCCTTTTTGAAGACCTGAAAGTGATGGTGACTTTGAGGTGGTAGCAGTCACAGTGGTAAGAGTGGGTGTCGTGGGAGTAGTGCTTGTTATTGTTCTAGGTTGAAGTAACTCTTGCCCTTTTGGAGAAATTGCAACTGTTACATGAAGTGACTTATCCACAGGATGGCACTGCAAACCAGCATTTCGTGCAGAAGAGTAAAGCATTGTTGAACTCCGTACCACTGTCCCCTGGGGCAGTGATCTCAAATTCAGTCTCTCTCTAACATCTCTATCCTTTTGTCTCTGTAAAATCTTACGAATTTCCATTGGTGCTGTCAAATCAGGAGACCTACTCAGTCTTCTAGCAGCTTCCTGCTGGGGTTTCCTTGGCTGCACATTGGATGAACTGACTTCTGTTTTTCTGTTGATATTCAAAATTTCTTCTGGAGCTGATTTGCTTCGACACAGAGTAGTTAAACTAGTTCTGGTTCTTGACGGACTTGAGGAAGTGGCCCTCATCAACCTGACTGGATGATCACCCTTACCAACATTTCTACTACTTATTCCAAATTTGTGACTTAGCCGATCCTTTAGGAAACTGACATTTGTATCTCTGAAACATAGCTCATGTCTGGGATGAATTGAACCTCTGTGGGACTGGGAGGGTAGCTTCATCTTTGACCAAAGACGGAGTGTGGAGCTGTGGTGTGAGGATAGCCTCTTTGGTGGGGAAGGAGGTGGAGGCTGGGAAATTGTTTTCCTAGGAGTCACCTGAATAAGGGATGGAGCCGTGCGCTTGTATGAAGAGAACACAGGAGGAACATTTGTGTATGTTGTGGTAATAGGGTAGCACACAATTTCTCGTAGGGGGGTTATGTTCTGCTTATGGACACGAATTCTTGTGAGATGTGGGGAAATGGGAAAGTATTCAATTTCAGATATATCTGCAGGAAAGGGATGGGACAAACAAATAACATAATATTTATGCAGATGAATACACCATTTGAGTTATTTGTGCATTAGGTTGCAAAGTGATTTGGGTGCTAGCTACCTGGTGCTAATGCTGAATTTGTGCTCTGTCTCTTGATACTAATGCAACTCTACATAATAATTAGAAATTGAAGCAGGTGCAACAGACAAATTTTGTTTATTTAAATTGCTTTGAAGACAGCAGCAAGAAAGAACAGCCTAGTTACAGTGCCACAGGTTCTACTGATATCGTTATGGCTAAATATTTCAAACATGTAATTAATTTCATTTCCATGTATACTGTGTGCAACCAACTGGCATTATACAGTTAGACCATAACTAGCAAAACATATGTCGATGATAAACTATGAACAGGAAGGCTCCCTCTTCCATCATCTAAAGGGCTAAATCGCTATAAATTAAAATATCAAGGAATGACAATTGTTGTGCATCTGGGATAAATGTGGGTATTCTCAAATTAATTATCTCACAGACCAAAGACCATCTTAGAAGCTTTTTTAGTTCCCAGTTCACATGTTTTTATTTCAGTTGGAGTCCAGTGGAATATGACATAACAAAAATGATAGAACATGACAGATAGCTAACCTCACAACTCTGAATAATTCTGTGATATTCTTAAAAATGTACTATAAATCAACACATTCCAAATCAAAAGATAAAATTCACGCTACCAGGAAAATATTGTCACATCATATCCAAGGACAGATATTGAAGATTCAGTACAGAATTTGTTTAACTGGAGATTTAACTGTGTCATACCAAAGAACTATATAGTGACATGAGAGAGAGAGAGAGAGAGAGTGAGAGTGAATGAAAATACAGCAGTAGGTAAAATTATAACACAGAAGTAATAATAATAAAAATTTCACAAAATCTACAGTTTCAAGGCCTAAAATGGCTGACTACCACTATTACAGCTGACACTCTTAGAAAAGTCAAGTACCTTTGGTGTCTTTTCTAATTTATTTTGCTGACCTTACCAAAATCATTTCAAGAAAACTTATTCCTACCAAATCTCTCCCAAGTAACTTTACATATCAACTTCACTACAATCCTAGCAGCAGAGTTCTAAGAGCTTTATTCTAAACTTCTTTGCAGGAATAACATAATACTTGTATATATACAATCTTGCATACATATGTTTACTCCTTGATACAATTGTTTATGCCTATGATTAATCCTTATCCTTCATTTCTCTCCTTTAATAGCTTGTTTAAACAGTATGGTCACAGAGCTACAGAAAGAGTAAATTGTTTATTTAGATGAATAATTGTACCTAATAACTTTTCATCTTGCATCCACAGTTCTTTCCAGTGACAATGACACAAACCCAGTAGCAAAATTCCACAGATTCTATATAAAAAAAATACTGAGAAAGCTGGTTCATGCCATAATGCTTCTGACTTACATTTGGGAGGAGCTTGGTATAAATCTTGGCTAGAACACCGACAAACCCGATTGAGATTTTTCATGGGTTTCCTCAGTCCTTCCACTCAAAGGTCAGAACAGTACCTCAAAATAAGCAATGACTGGTTCCTTCCATATCCTTTCTGACCTATTATTCACTAGTCATCCTACCATCCAACATGATATAGTTCAAGCTACTGACAGTCTTATTATTTCAATCATACATAAGAAATAAAATAATAAAATACTCACAAGAGTGTTGACTTAACAATAATCACATATCTACAATTCTTTATCAAATGTATTTATAATGTGATAGTATGTAATTAAAAATTTCATAAATTTGGTTATTTTCAGTCTTTTATGGAACTGTTTTGAGCAACAGAGGGACAGCATGATTCTGATATTTTGTTTTAATATGAGTATTAAAAAGTGTCAGTAATATATTCCTCATTTTACACTATATAAAACCCAGGTACCAAACATTACATGTACTACAAACACAATCAATGTTTTTACTTTGTTTTATCTGGTACATGATGGACAATGACTTGAGGATTAGAAACTTAAAAAAAGCACTCCTTAATCTCAAGGAAATGTTTATTGCTTTTGTAATTTTTTTAATTAATTTAATTTTCTTGGGGTGGAGTGAGACTGAGTCCACTTGGTATGCCAGCCACTAACTGACCTACTATACCAGCCCTGGATGATATACCTAGTACGATGATGAATGTGGAGCAGTTGGTGGAATGAGAATTTGCTGGGAAAACCAAAGTACTCAGAGAAAACCTGCCTCAGTGCCACTTTGACCACCACAAATCCCACATGACCTGACCTAGGCTCCAATCCGGACTGCCGCGGTAGGAAGCCGGTGACTAACTGCCTGAGCTACAGCATGACCAAACTGTTGCTTTTGTATCTTTGAGGAATGTTTGCACTAAGACACGTCCAATGATGCATACATATTCTGTACATACAGCTGCTCATAGTTTAGGTCAAACGGTAATAAGCTTGAATTCTGTTCAGGCACCACACATTTCAAGTCTCAGTCAGGGCACATGCTACACTGACTGAGGCTTTTCATGTCTTTTGCCCAACAAATTTGCAATATAACAATTGAAATACACAATGATTTTTGATACTGCATTCACAGTTAATTGCAGTTCACCCTACATAATCATTCCAACAACCTTTGCAACTGACAGAGAAATATTTAATAACATATGAACCAATAAACATTTCCCAGGGTGTCAGGCCCCTTACTGTAAAGACAGATCCTCCAAAGATATAATCTAAAGGATGAGCTATTATAATTGTCAAATGTTTCCCAAGAGCAGGCATGCAGTAGGTAATATTTGCCTCCACCGCTGCAGTATATCCAATATCAACAGAAGCACAGAGATTGCAAGCAAACAGTTCCATCACCAACATTACACATGCCAACATATCAAAACAGCTGAGCATTTCCTATACATGTTATATAACAACATCTGTTTCATTTGAATTTGTTTAAAGTTGTGTTACCTGAATACATTACTGAATTCAGACATGTGCCAGAAAATGGGCAACAAAAAACATTAAAAATGGTTTACAATGACAGTGCCAACATTGAAACAGAGATATATTAAAGAAAACACATATAGTAATGAATGGCAGAAGATTTCCCAGTTTGGTGTCATTAATGTTACCTAGTGTTTAAATTTACGAAGTGAATATGGTAGGCCTATTTTTCAGAAAACAGTCCAGAATCCCATTCTATTAATAAAGAGTAAACTCTTCCACTGTTTGTAATTAAATGCAGCGAATATTTGAATCAGTTACTGAAACTCCACTTTTGTTTCCACATTTCCTCCTTGGTGACGTATGGCTAAAAAATTTTCTGTTATTAGAATGCCAATGTTTAGCAGTGCTAAAATGAAGGTCTGCAATTTAATATGAGCTTGAAACAGATGAATCAGTTTACATATTTACAACTTAATTTCTTCTGACCAATTTTAATGTCAACCTTTCACATACTTGCTAGACTTTCACACAGCCGCTTTCTAAATCTTACTTGTATGTCCAGCTCATTATATCCCCTTCGAATTGACTAGCAACACTAACTGGCCTGTATAATCAGAGGGCTCCATGTTATGTAATAGCCTGCATCTTAGCTTCCTTCATCTTCCTTAGTTCCACAATTTTCCTTTACAATTTCTTTAAGATAGTTTCAATTAATGTTTTCCATCAAGGAAATATGTATTTCAACAGAGGAATTGTTTCCTTTCACAACTGGAGAAGGAGTTGTGAACAGCAAAAGTGCAGCTTCAATAATGATTACACACTCTAAGAGACGCATCCATAATGAGAGCACAGAACATGTCTGAGGAAGTTGAAGGTTGACAAATTTAGAATTAGGCAAAAATACTACAATCATTTCATAGAATTAAAGATGCATAAACATCCACACACCAAAAGGTAATGGCTAAACTTCTCTCTGTTTCACAAACACAGAGTTGACTCTATATTATATTCTTCATAGATTAATCACCAAACTTTTAAAATCCCTCAGTTACTGATTATAGCTTCCTATAATGATTTAAATGTTGCCAAACTCTTCCAGTAATATACATATATCAGTGATGCTTTACAACGATCTGACAGACTACACATCATCTCACTCTGTTGCAGCTATCTATTTTATTACTTTATTTCTTTTCCCAGGGTCTAACTACCAGAACAAGGGCTGTTTTTTGCCACTGAAAAGATATATAACCCAATCTTTAGTGACCAGTAGACTATAGAGAATATATTCTACAGCATTATATATCTGATGTGATTTTCAGGGCTGAATACAGTCTGAACAGTAAGTAATTCCAGGTTTTTGAATTATCCATTGTATTTAGCAATACATACTACTTTTTCCCTTCTTTACAGCAGATAATCTAGATAGAATCCCACTGTTATTCTGCATTTGAACATGTTCCACATCCTACAATCAAAATATTTTCACTGCTCTTGGTTAAGTGACAGATAACTTTCTTTTTAAGCACTATTAATTCTTTCAAAAGTCTAAACATATTTTGCTTCAGCTAATTCTTACCAATTTGTATTTATAATGAAGACAGTTTGTGTAATGAATCACATAACAAGTGGTGGATAGAATTTGACTGTGTCTAAAATTGTAAAAATCTTCTTACTCTCTGCAGTTTAGCAAATGGCAATAAATCTAAATACTCAATAATGTAAAAATTCACTTCTGTCTCAGTACACTGGTATATAATTTGGCCTTCTTCCAAATCCTTCTTATTCAACAAATAGTCTCTTGGGCAATCAGTCATATCAGTGTGGAATGAACGACAGTCTCTGCCTCCATCATCAAGAAATGATATGATGAGTGACAGTTTTTAATTGCTTGTACATATAAATTTGACTCTCAGAATCAGGACTCCTTATTAGGGGAACAGGGAGCAGGATCAGGTGTTCAATCATCCTATCCAAGGCCACAATCAACATCGCTTAACCTGTTCATTCTAGATTTTTGGTCTTAAGATAGGATTTAAAGCTCACAGATTTTCTGTGATTCCAAATTAAGTGACATACACTGTGGCTATAGTAGGATGAGTGAAGGCATGACTCCACCCACACTTACAATATTGGTCTGTTATCAGGCAGGGACACTGGGCTCTGACATGTATATACATATACAATGACCAACTTTGTGACTCATTTCATCAGTGCCTGTTGAAAGTTGAAGAGACAGTCTCCATAATGTCAGAAATTCATTTCGTACTGACTCGGCTGATTTCCCAAGAAGATTTCATTGAATTCATTTGCCATGAAAGCTTAAAATATCATAAAGTGTAATTCTCTGCATGTAACTCAGAGATGTAAGTTCAAGCCATTCTCAGACATGTTCCTAGCAATAATAATACTGGCATTTACTTCATGTCAGTTGGCATAACATTAAATGTTACCTTGTTAGAAATTACTTTGCCTAGGTTTATACTACACAATGGGTTAAAACTGGAGTCATCATGTCATACTAAATATCCTTATGTAACACTCACCTTTAGGTCTTTCAGGTGCAGGTTTCCGTAAGCCATGGAGTGGCACCTCACCACCCTTCTGAATGGTCTTGTATGCCAATTTCTGTTCTGCAGGACTCAACTGACTCTGCAGGTTCTCATCACGACGTTTGAACACCAGTGTTGAATCACTCTCATATCCAGATTCCTTCAGGGCACTGAAGCACAGACCACACAATACACTCATAATCACAATCCAGTTCACTGCCTTTATATTAAGGCACTGAACACTACTTTACCACAGTATACAAAACAGCTGGATTACAATATTTAAACATTAAACAATAAAGAAAAGCACAGACATTCTGTGTTAAAAGTAAATGTTCAACTTAAATCAGCAGAAATTAATTTCTATTAGAGATATAGAAGACTAACTTGGGTCCAGAATGGGATAGAAGGTAATAACCATATGCTGAGGATACAAAATAAAATACTGTAGCACTATGTATATACTCGTTACAGGTAGAACAGCAATATTCGGATAGCCAACAGATCTAATTCATTGTACACTAAATGGAACATGTGAAAAAGAGATACCAAAACACAATTGTTAAAAGAAAGGAATCTGAAGGAAGATAATGTAATGCTCAGCAATTATGAACATGGAAACAAGGATTCTGTGAAAAAACACACGTATGTATACAACTCATAATTTTAATCTAGGTCAAATCATGATTTCTATTATAAGAACTGAAATATATCAAAATTTTAATATTTCAAAACAAATATTTTTTGTAGTATATTGAAGCCCAAGGACAATGAAGCGAGTCCAGCGCGAAGTCAGTGTGATCATAACCTTCATCAAGAATGAACGTTAGCTGGCTGGAACAGCGTTGTTACATGAAAATAGCAGTGCTTTGTGGCAGAAATGCAACTGAATGTCACTCAGAGCTTGTGGAAGCTCTGGGTGATCGTGCTCTACCATACAGATCTGTTGCAAGGCAGAAAATTATTGTAAACAAGAAAGAGAATAGTTGGATCACTAGAGGAATAAAAATTTCACTTAATCATAAGCGTGAGCTATATTTGAATATTAAATATAATAATGATCAGGCATTAAAAGATTTCTATAAACGTTATTGTAAAATTCTATCAAGAGTTATTAAGGAGGCTAAGAAATATCAATACAATAAAAAGATATTAACCTCCAGCAATAGGATCAAAACTATATGGAATATTGTTAAAACAGAAACAGGTAGAAAAACAAAAAAAGAAGGAATATCATTAATAAATCATAACGGTCTGCAAATAGATGATCAGCACATAATATCAAGTATTTTTAATAAATATTTTTC